TGTTCCACTACAGCCCCATCGATGAGAATGGGGGCGTGCTCAGTCCTCTTTTTTTTCCTGTAGTCCACAATCATCTCCTTTGTCTTGGTCACGTTGAGGGAGAGGTTGTTATCCTGGCACCACACGGCCAGGTCTCTGACCTCCTCCCTATAGGCTGTCTCATCGTTGTCGGTGATCAGGCCTACCACTGTTGTGTCGTCGGCAAACTTAATGATGGTGTTGGAGTCGTGCCTGGCCATGCAGTCATGGGTGAACAGGGAGTACAGGAGGGGACTGAGCACGCACCCCTGAGGGGCCCCCGTGTTGAGGATCAGTGTGGCAGATGTGTTGTTACCTACCCTTACCACCTGGGGGCGGCCCGTCAGGAAGTCCAGGATCCAGTTGCAGAGGGAGGTGTTTAGTCCCAGGATCCTTAGCTTAGTGATGAGCTTTGAGGGCACTATGGTGTTGAATGCTGAGCTGTAGTCAATGAATAGCATTCTCACGTAGGTCTTCCTCTTGTCCAGGTGGGAAAGGGCAGTGTGGAGTGCAATAGAGATTGCATAATCTGTGGATCTGTTGGAGCGGTATGCAAATTGGAGTGGGTCTAGGGTTTCTGGGATAATGGTGTTGATGTGAGCCATGACCAGCCTTTCAAAGCACTTCATGGCTACAGACGTCAGTGCTACGGGTCAGTAGTCATTTAGGCAGGTTATCTTAGTGTCCTTGGGCACGGGGACTATGGTGGTCTGCTTGAAACATGTTGGTATTACAGAATCAGTCAGGGACATGTTGAAAATGTCAGTGAAGACACTTGCCAGTTGGTCAGCACATGCTCGGAGTACACGTCCTGGTAATCCTTGTGAATGTTGACCTGCTTAAAAGTCTTACTCACATCGGCTACGGAGAGCGTGATCACATAGTCATCCAGAACAGCTGGTGCTCTCAGGCATGCTTCAGTGTTGCTTGCCTCGAAGCGAGCATAGAAGTGGTTTAGCTATGTTTGGAGGAAAAAGGCGGTGGCTTGCAAGCCGAAGAACACCATCCCAACCGTGAAGAACTGGGGTGGCAGCCTCATGATGTGGGGGTGCTATGCTACAGGAGGGACTGGTGCACTTCACAAAATAGATGGCATCATGAGGAAGGAAAATTATGTGGATATATTGAAGCAACAGCTGAAGTCATCTGTCAGGAAGTTAAAGCTTGGTTGCAAATGGGTCTTCCAAATGGACAATGACCCCAAGCATACTTCCCAAGTTGTGGCAAAATGGCTTAAGGACAACAAAGTCAAGGTATTGGAGTGGCCATTACAAAGCCTTGTCCTCAATCCTATAGAACATTTGTGAGCAGAACTGAAAAAACATGTGCGAGCAAGGAGGCCTACAAACCTGACTCAGTTACACCAGCTCTGTCAGGAGGAATGGGCCAAAATTCACCCAACTTATTGTGGGAAATTTGTGGAAGGCTACCCGAAACGTTTGACCCAAGTTAAACAATTTAAAGGCAATGCTACCAAATACTAATTGAGTGTATGTAAACGTCTGACCCACTGGGAATGTGATGAAATAAATAAAAGCTGAAATAAATAATTCTCTCTACTATTATTTTCTGACATTTCACATTCTTAAAATAAAGTGGTGATCCTATCTGACCTAAGACAGGGAATTGTTACTAGGATTAAATGTCAGGAATTGTGAAAAACTGAGTTTAAATGTATTTGGCTAAGGTGTATGTAAACTTCCGACTTCAACTGTATGTCATACCCTACCCCGATGGAGTGATGCTCCAGTCTCTATGATGGACCGTGTTTACTGTTCAATTTCTGAAAAGTTTCAGCACACCATATGCTCTTGAGAGATGTAATTTTTTTTCTATTTGGTCCTGTTAAAAAGTACCTACATCTTCAGTAAATCACAGTATTATGGTTGGAGTTGTTCATGAAATCGTGTGGATTTTGCTTTATATCACTGATGCAGGCTACGTGTAGAGGGAAATCATTTGAATGGTATGCTTGTCAGAACAGCTTGCACTTGGTAAATGTACATATTCCACAACAATATCCAAATAAATGTTTTTCCCTGCATTGTCAGCAGTGGTGATTTTAGCATGTAAATCTTGGTGGGGTAAACTCTAAACTTCTTTTAGATGCATGCCAGCAAGGGCACTGTCCCAACGGCTGAGTTCCAACAGCAGTCCCAACCCCTTACCACCGCTACACCTGGCTATCAGCTGAGCCTTGTCTGGCATCGAAAAAGTTCATTCTGCCTCATTTACTGCTTAAAAAAAAAACATAGCTGATATGGCTGACTTGCTTAAACAAATGTGGTTTCTACTGACAATTGAGATGTACAAACTATGGCATAAGGGGACAACGAGCAGATAAGAGGCAATCCGTAATTTCAATGAAGACATTAATTAGCGAGCTAAGATGGATGTAGTCAATATAACTATTTGTTCAGCACTTTTGAAATGTACAGCGACAGAATTCAGAACATGGGTCGTTCTTACAGTATTCTCCCTGAACACCAAGTCAGAACCGTAGAATAAATAAAGGGGGCATATAAGCAGACAATGAAAGCTCTTACAATATCCGATAATTACATTTCTCTAAAACAGGCTGTAGGCTACATGTGCACCACCAAGTCAGTAGGCTAAATTATGAGGGGAAAAGGGACCGAATTATTAGGGTGAGGCACATGGGCTACAAACAGCTTACTACACAACATACACTTAGTATTACTTTCTTAGCTACAGTATCTCCCTGGCATATCACATCATTTATGCTGTGCTCACTTGAACAGGAAGGTGGAGCGGCGGTCCTTCGTGTGGGCTCTAGAAAGAGTCCCGAAATCCCGACTTGGAATTCCGAGTTAGATGACCGTTCAAAATTATTTTCTGTATTTTCCCAGTTGTCTTGAACTCACTGAAGTCTGAGGTTTCCCAGTTCCGAGTTTCCAGTTGTTTAGAATGCAGCAGAAGTCATGCTGGATTGACACGTATTAATGACAAACTAACATGCAAAACAGGCAAAACCCCCAAAAACAAAACATTTTATTTAGCTAAACAGGTGGGGCTCTGCCTGTTAATCTCCAACAGCAGGCTGTCTGTCACTGCTGCCAGCTCACTAAAGGCTGCAGGAACAAATTGAATGTAGCAGATTTGATTACATTAGTTGTGCTCCTTGATCTCAGTTGATTTCCCCTAAATAAGATATTAAATGAATGACACATTCACATGCAAATCTTGTTTACATTTTCAAAACCTAATTTAATATATTATCATATTTCCAGCTACATTTGGAAAGCTCATAATGACTCAGATTTGCCAGTGTGGAGTAATTGCATCTTCTTACCTTTGTGTAAGTGAGCAGAGCGGTTTGTCTTTTTGTACTCTGAATCCCTTCTTTAAAAGAGCAGTGGAGGGTAGTACTTATTAAGTTGGCTGTTTGCATCTTCAGTTATGCCTCTTTTCAATCAGACTAAATGAAAGTGTAAAAGTGATTAATCCAAGCAAGTCACAAAAATAACTTGAAGTCGGGGGGAGTTAATTCGCTTTTCACTGGTAATTACATATCATCATTGTGTCTTAATTCAGAGTCAGGTTTTTTAGTGTAAGAACTGAACCTCCCACCAGGTCTGTCTCAATAGTGCTCTCTAGCTACATTTACGTCATTTAGCAGACGCTCTTATCCAGATCAACTTACAGTTAGTGAGTGCATACATTATTTTTTAATTTTTCATACCCCCGTGGGAATCGAACCCACAACCCTGGCGTTGCAAACGCCATGCTCTACCAACTGAGCTACATCCCATTCCCTCCCCTACCCTAGACAACGCTGGGCCAATTGTGGCCGCCCCATGCGTCTCCTGGTCGCGGCCGGCTACGACAGAGCCTGGATTCGAACCAGGGTCTCTAGTGGCACAGCGATGCAGTGCCTTAGACCGCTGCGCCACTCGGGAGCGCAGCGGTTACCAAGGCAACTATGATCAATAATGGATAATGTAGGCAACATACATCTAGGGGCTGAGAGACAAAATCAGATTAGAAAAGTGCTGTATCATACCCGTTTTTTGTAAGAGCTTTTAACTGACAAACCAAAACCAAACATATTTATGATTGGTGTAACAGTACAATCATATCATTTCAAACAGCAGAAAATTTAAATTATTTCATGCACTATTTGGAGTGCCATTAATACAGAGTTCACTGTGTGAATGCTCTTTAAAGTGTCTTCAGCACTGTTGCCATAAAACAAGGTGTGCCATTCATTTTATGTTTCCTTCAATGATTTCAGCGTGGCGTTTAGGCCTCCTCTGGGGACTGACTCAGGAGAAGGAGGTCTTACAGTGTATTGGTCTGGTGGGTGGTTTACCACTCTCTGGACACATTTACAGGATCATTGAATACCAGTCGGTTTTCAACAGCATCTCCTTATACCAATTAAGTAATACATCAAAGCCTCTTACAGCTTTTGAAAGTGTAAGTCACAAAAATACAAAAACTAAATATGTGTAGATCCCTGGCCATTGCCTGCTAAAAACGACAGGCTAAAGATACATTTGACAGAGGATGATAGAGACCAAGACACAATCTAGCACTGAATGATAAATCTCTATTATATCTGGGAGTTGTACAAAAAAATGCCCCAACGTGTTGGTGATGCTAAATAACCACAATCAATCACACAGGAGACAGATGGCTTAACAGCACCCAAAGTTATGAATCAACCGTATTTATAATGAGAAATTGTGAATAACTTGAGTTAGCACAGGCCAATAGAAGAATGTATTGTTTTGTCACTGCTGTGTGTAATTAATGCATCACCATGGAAAAAGAGGGTTACTTGTCACCTCCACGGTTTGTAAGGATATTCTTCATCAGCTCACTCACAGTTCAAGGTGCTGCTATGTTTTCTTTTGAGATGTTTTTAATCTGTATGGCAGCTAGAGCCACCCACGCCCACACTACAGCCTTATTCCTCAACGGTGAAAAATAGGGTCCAAAATACACAAGCGCTGTTGAGTGAAGTAGTCAGCTGAGGACAAGCATGCAGAACTGTGTTATCATAATGACCTTTGCTACCATTTCTCAACAGAGATGCCTGTAAATGTTTAGTGACCGAAAGGTTATGTGACACTGGACTGTTGAGCACAAACTGTAACTCATATTAGTAAAAATCGGGTAATTGCAGCTAGCTGGAAGCCTCTCTGTACATGGTATAGTATGGTATCAAGGACAGGCTGTTGGTAAACAAACAGTCAAACATCAGGATGGGAAGAGCCTCTTACTTAGCTGTGATTTTAATCTGTTTGGTTTCCAGTGGCAGAATATCAGGTAAGTAGTGGAAACGTTGTTATACTAAATCTATTAATGGTGGTTCCACATGAGACTTGAAAAAGGACTACATATGTTGCAGCTCAAGGTTCTTGGTTGGCAGTTGTGTTATACGGTCACACCACACATTTTTCTTTTTCTCCACTCTTTCACGTCATTTCAAATTTTTCTTACAGGACAGTCATGTGAGGGAAAATGTGGTGGCAAATTAGAATCCTGTTCTTGCCATGCTACTTGTGCATCCCTCAAAAACTGCTGTGCGGACTATGGGGAGTACTGTGTCGATGTCACTCCATATTCCGGATCAATATTTGGTGGAACTGACTTTGTTGTCCTCAAAGCAACTTTTAATGAGAGCTCCCAAATCATCTGCAGGTAGATGCAAATACTTATTTCACGTCACTCACCTAACACATTGCTGAGTTTTACATTCTACGTTCTGTGAATTTGTGGCTGGTAGATACGCATATTAAATTTACTGAAAACTGTCTTTATAATTGCAGGTTCAAATATGAAATCACAACGGTGGGCTATGTGGACACAGACAACAGAGGCCACTGCATATCACCTCTACTGTATGAAACAGGGTTGGTTCCTCTTCAGATCTCTACAGACAATGGTACAACCTTCAGCAGACATGGAGCTTGGTTATCAGGTAGGGTGGGCCTGTGCAGCACTGATATATGGCAGCTATTTATCACAAAATCCCACCAGATACACTTATTTAAAATATGTCAACCAACCTTCCTTACCAATTTGCAGTTTGTGCTTTTTAATCTACAGTCCATCCTGGAAAGTTAGATCCTAGTTTCAAAGCTACTATAGTCAACGCAACCCAGTGGCAGTACTATGGCACCCCGAAAGTTGGAGGCCCGCTAGACATGACATGGAACACCTCACAGGTCAGAACAGAAAAGGTCAACATAGAGCTTTGGGGATACATGGAGAAAGGTGAGTAACAGCTAAGTCCTTCCAGCACCTTACCATTTGCACTCAAATGCTGTCAGTGCATCCCAAGGATACTCACTGATTTCTCATGTCATAGGGGATCCCTACTCAGAGTCCTGGCAGGGTAAATGGGAGTACCTGTACTCTCTAGGGAGGGACCTGCCTAACAGTGGTGCTTTTAGCTTTGTGCCCAAGACAGCACGGAAGCCTTTCTCAGACTGGGAGGTTGGCTGTCTACGCATCAGCCCCAGTACTCACCCAGATGGAACCTGGTATGGCAAAAGACTCGACACACTCACATGTAAACTGATAACAAAAATACCATACAGCATTTTTGCAGCACAAACCTACTATACTTGGAGGACATGTCCAGCAAAATTAAGGCAGGTATACAATTTTAAAAACATCACAATACATTCACAGATTTCACAACACACTGTGTGCCCTCAGGCCCCTACTCCACCACTACCACATATCTACAATACAAAATCCATGTGTACATGTGTATAGTGCGTATGTTATCGTGTGTGTGTAGGCATGTGTTTGTGCCTATGTTTGTGTTGCTTCACAGTCCCCGCTGTTCAATAAGGTGTATTTTTTATCTGTTTTTTAAATCTAATTTTACTGCATCAGTTACTTGATGTGGAATAGAGTTCCATGTAGTCATGGCTCTGTGTAGTAATGTGCGCCTCCCATAGTCTGTTCTGGACTTTGGGACTGTGAAGAGACCTCTGGTGGCATGTCTTGTGGGGTATACATGGGTGTCCAAGCATGTTGTTGTAACTGCCCTAGATACCGAGTCATAAACCACATACATGTTGTTGTAACTGCCCTAGCTACCAAGTCATAAACCACATGTATGTTGTTGTAACTGCCCTAGCTACCAAGTCATAAACCACATGCATGTTGGCTGAAAATGAAGAAAATAAAGTTATTGTTCAACATAAAGTTGAGCAGATTAGTTGAGCATGCTCCATCAGTGTAAACATACATAGCCATACAGATAAACTGTCTCTGTGATGTGAATGTCCTATAGGAATGTCCAGGCAGTGTGGACTGGGGACCATGCTCTAGCCTGGCATCTGGAGGACAAGTTCAGGCAGGACTCAGCTGCCTGGGCACTGGATAAGTGTAAAGCCTGGGACCAGCTGGAGGAGACACTGCCAGACTTCCTCTCTGAAATCATTGACTGTCCATGCACACTGGCTCAGGCTAGAGCAGACACTGGAAGGTTTCATGTAAGTCAAAGCAGTAAACTATGGTATATATGTAGGATCTTAATTTGATCACCGCATTGAAGGAGAACAGCGCCGGAAGAAGATGGCTGCCGTTTTACAGCCCTCTAACCAATTGTACTATTATGTGTGTTTTTCCGCGTTATTTGTAATTTATTTTGTACATAATGTTTATGCCATCGTCTCTTATAACCAAAGAGAGCTTCTGGATATCAGGACAGCGATTACTCACCTCGCGTTGGACGAACACTTTTTCTTCAACGAGGCGTTCGCGAAGGATATTCTACAGACTCCGGACAAGGCCCAGATCCCCGTCATTCGCGTGAGGAAGAGACGGCGATATCGTGGACGTAGGTCGGGGTGCCTTGTAAGGATCCGACGGCGAACGAGTAAACTGCCTCTCCCATCAATCCTATTAGCCAACGTTCAAGCTTTGGAGAATAAAATGGACGATTTAAGATTACGGTTATCCTACCAACGGGACATTAAAAACTGTAATATCTTATGTTTCACGGAGTCGTGGCTGAATGACAACAATGACAACATTCAGCTAGCAGGCTATACGCTACATCGGCAGGACAGAACGGCAGACTCGGGTAAGACGAGGGGTGGCGGTCTCTGTATTTTTGTAAACAACAGCTGGTGCACAAAATCAAATACTAAGGAAGTCTCAAGGTTTTGCTCGCCTGAGGTAGAGTATCTTATGATAAGCTGTAGACCACACTATTTACCAAGAGAGTTTTCATCTATACTTTTCATAGCTGTCTATTTACCACCACAAACCAATGCTGGCATTAAGATTGCACTGAATGAGTTGTACAAGGCCATTAATCAACAGGAAAACGCTCATCCAGATGCAGCGCTCCTAGTAGCAGGGGACTTTAATGCAGGGAAACTTAAATCCGTTCTACCTCATTTCTACCAGCATGTTAAATGTGCAACCAGAGGGGAAAAAACTCTAGACCACCTTTACTCCACACACAGAGACGCATACAAAGCTCTCCCTCGCCCTCCATTTGGCAAATCTGACCATAACTCTATCCTCCTGATTCCTGCTTATAAGAAAAAACTGAAGCAGGAAGCACCAGTGACTCGGCTAATAAAAAAGTGGTCAGATGACGCAGATGCTAAGCTACAGGACTGTTTTGCTAGCACAGACTGGAACATGTTCCGGGATTCTTCAGACAGCATTGAGGAGTACACCACATCAGTCACTGGCTTCATCAATAAGTGCATCGATGATGTCGTCCCCACAGTGACCGTACGTACATACCCCAACCAGAAGCCATGGATTACAGGAAACATCCGCACTGAGCTAAAGGGTAGAGCTGCCGCTTTCAAGGAACGGGACTCTAACCCGGACGCTTATAAGAAATCCCGCTATGACCTCCGACGAACCATCAAACAAGCAAAGAGTCAATACAGGTCTAAGATTGAATCATACTACACTGGCTCTGACGCTCGTCGGATGTGGCAGGGCTTGAAAACTATTACAGACTACAAAGGGAAGCACAGCCGCGAGCTGCCCAGTGACACAAGCCTACCAGACGAGCTAAACCACTTCTATGCTCGCTTCGAGGCAAGCAACACTGAAGCATGCATGAGAGCACCAGCTGTTCCGGACGACTATGTGATCACGCTCTCCGTAGCCGATGTGAGTAAGACTTTTAAGCAGGTCAACATTCACAAGGCCGCAGGGCCAGACGGATTACCAGGACGTGTACTCCGAGCATGTGCTGACCAACTGGCAAGTGTCTTCACTGACATTTTCAACATGTCCCTGACTGAGTCTGTAATACCAACATGTTTCAAGCAGACCACCATAGTCCCCGTGCCCAAGAACTCTAAGATAACCTGCCTAAATGACTACCGACCCGTGGCACTGACGTCTGTAGCCATGAAGTGCTTTGAAAGACTGGTCATGGCTCACATCAACAGCATAATCCCAGAAACCCTAGACCCACTCCAATTTGCATACCGCCCCAACAGATCCACAGATGATGCAATCTCTATCGCACTCCACACTGCCCTTTCCCACCTGGACAAGAGGAACACCTACGTGAGAATGCTATTCATTGACTACAGCTCAGCATTCAACACCATAGTGCCCTCAAAACTCATCACTAAGCTAAGGATCCTGGGACTAAACACCTCCCTCTGCAACTGGATCCTGGACTTCCTGACGGGCCGCCCCCAGGTGGTAAGGGTAGGTAACAACACATCTGCCACACTGATCCTCAACACGGGGGCCCCTCAGGGGTGCGTGCTCAGTCCCCTCCTGTACTCTCTGTTCACCCATGACTGCATGGCCAGGCACGACTCCAACACCATCATTAAGTTTGCCGACGACACAACAGTGGTAGGCCTGATCACCGACAACGATGAGACAGCCTATAGGGAGGAGGTCAGAGATCTGGCCGTGTGGTGCCAGGACAACAACCTCTCCTTCAACGTGACCAAGACAAAGGAGATGATTGTGGACTACAGGAAAAAAAAGAGGACTGAGCACGCCCCCATTCTCATCGACGGGGCTGTAGTGGAACAGGTTGAGAGCTTCAAGTTCCTTGGTGTCCACATCACCAACGAACTATCATGGTCCAAACACACCAAGACAGTCGTGAAGAGGGCACGACAAAGCCTATTCCCCCTCAGGAGACTAAAAAGATTTGGCATGGGTCCTCAGATCCTCAAAAAATTCTACAGCTGCACCATCGAGAGCATCCTGACTGGTTGCATCACCGCCTGGTATGGCAACTGCTTGGCCTCTGACCGCAAGGCACTACAGAGGGTAGTGCGTACGGCCCAGTACATCACTGGGGCAAAGCTCCCTGCCATCCAGGACCTCTATACCAGGCGGTGTCAGAGGAAGGCCCTCAAAATTGTCAAAGACTCCAGTCACCCTAGTCATAGACTGTTCTCTCTGCTACCGCACGGCAAGCGGTACCGGAGTGCCAAGTCTAGGTCCAAAAGACTTCTCAACAGCTTCACCCCAAGCCATAAGACTCCTGAACAGCTAATCATGGCTACCCGGACTATTTGCACTGCCCCCCCACCCCATCCTTTTTACGCTGCTGCTACTCTGTTAAGTATTTATGCATAGTCACTTTAACTCTACCCACATGTACATATTACCTCAACTACCTCAACTAGCCGGTGCCCCCGCACATTGACTATGCAACGGTACCCCCTGTATATATAGCCTCCCTACTGTCACTTTATTCTATGTATATATAGCCTCCCTACTGTCACTTATTTTTACTTCTGCTCTTTTTTTCTCAACACTTTTTTGTTGTGTTTTATTCTTACTTTTTGTTTAAAATAAATGCACTGTGGTTAAGGGCTGTAAGTAAGCATTTCACTGTAATGTCTGCACCTGTTGTATTCGGCGCATGTGACCAATAAAATTTGATTTGATTTGATTTGATTTGTATTTGAGGTTAAAAAAGGCTTCTGAAGTTTGTAATTTCCACTTTGAAATTTCAGACTTGATTTTCCCTTACAAATAATTTATCAAGCCCTACAAAAATGTCAATTAATTACAATCCACATAATTCACATTTCCTGTTGCTGCAGGATTATTTTCCTGCTGTAGCAAACTGGCACAAATTAAGATCCTACACCTGTACCTTGATACGTAAAGGCTAATATGTTTGTGCTCCCAAAGGATAAAAGTGCAGGCACAGCATACATACAGTATTGCTTTACATGTATGATAGATACCAGTAATAGAAAAGAGTATGATAGAGTTTGCTTTGTGCATTTTAATTGATGCTTTCCATTTCACCCTCAGACAGATTATGGGTGTGATATAGAGAAGGGGAGTGTGTGTACCTACCACCCAGGAAGTGTGCACTGTGTGCGGGCCATACAAGCCAGGTAAGTCCCATAACAATCAAATGACTTGTCAGTCATTAAGATGCCTCAAAGCCTATATGTATCCTGTGTTTCATATTCACTGTTGACAGCCCCAAGTACGCAGCAGGACAGCAGTGTTGCTATGACTACACGGGGGCCCAGGTTTTGACAGATGACTCCATTGGTGGGAGTACCCCAGACAGAGCCCATGACTGGGGCTCACCCCCGTTTGTAAAGCCCCCCAGAGTCCCTGGGTTCTCCCACTGGATCTATGACGTCCTCAGCTTCTACTACTGCTGCCTGTGGTCTGACAACTGTCACTACTACTTCAAACGCAGACCCTCCAGTGACTGCAGGACCTACCAAGTACTAAAAGCAGGTGAGAAAATGGCTCTGGTCTACAGTATGACTGTCCGATTAATGAAATTACAGCTGTCTGAACATAATATTATAAAATGTAGATCTGTTTGTCTGTTATTTATTATCGTTTCAATGTCATAGAATAATTTATAATAATGGTAGTGGATTTTTCTATCACTAGGTGTGGTGTTTGGAGACCCCCACTTCATAACATTTGATGGCGTCAGTTACTCCTTCAATGGAAAGGGGGAATACACAATTATGGCATCAGAAAGCAAGGAACTGACAATACAGGGCAGAACAGAGCCGGTAATACTGACAAATGGTCAGTTTTTAAGAAAACCTACAGTTAGAATGAAAGAGACAAGAAATTCAGAGGATCTCAGTTGACCTCAAATTGTGGCTAGTTATTATTATATTGATTATTATTCCCAAACATGAATTTCACAGGCAGCATGGTGAAAGCAACAAAGCTGTCAGCGGTTGCCATGAGAGAGGGGACCTCTGACATCATTGAGGTGCGACTAGGCAACCCTCAGGACCACCTACAGGTGCTGCAGAACCAAACATCCCTCTCCTTCTCTGAGCAGAGCTGGATGGATCTGAAGGGTGAGACCTTTGACTTTTTTAATTGACCTTTGGATTCATGGAAGAGCTATTGTTTTTATAAAATAATCAATGCAGTGGAGAGATAATGCAGCAGAGATAAGGCTGAGCTGGCTTGCTGGTGAAGAGATATAAGGGCTGTCTTTGCCCTTGTGAAATAGCTAACAGATATTTACAACTGCTTTAAAGTCCTACCTTCCCTGCGTAAAGAGAAGGATTCAACTTTCATTTCAAGTTCAAAGGTTTGACAGCAGTATTCACCAATCTGCACTGAGCTGTAAATGTGGATGTAGAATCTAGAATGTCAACCAGATAAGATAAGAAAAATGTGCAATTCTAAGACATGGATCTATCATACTTGTTTTCCAGGTGTGTATGTATTTTCGCCCAACCCTACAAATGTGACTGTCATGTTCCCCTCTGGAGCTGGAGTGGAACTGAGACTGAGAGGGGGAACCATGACAACCACAGTGCTTCTACCGGAGGCGTTTAAGGATTTTACCCGTGGACTGTTAGGAAAGATGAACGGTGACCCCAAAGATGACCTGGTTACCAGTGATGGTCAGACTGAATCTGATCAAGGCAATGCAGAGGGTCTGTTTAATTTCGGGGCAAGCTGTGAGTAAATACAAAGTCTGCATCTAATTAATATCATACATGTTGTCCAGACAGATTATAGAGATATTGTTAATCACTAAGGTTCAGTTCAGCTAAGGTTCAGTGTACTCATAATGCCATTGCACACAGTTGTCATGTGCACAACAAATGCCCCTTGAATAATTGTTTAATTCAGTAAAAATATGTTTTTACTTTATTTTTTCCAGGGGCTATATTGAACGAGTCCACGCTCTTCACATACGATTCAGAACACTTGTTGAACTCATATCTCCATGCTCCAAAACACGACGCCAGTTTCCGTCCAGTGTTTTCCATCCCTGAGGATCCAAATGATCCTCTCGGCAGCCAGGCCTCTGAGCTGTGCTCTGGAGAGGGCTTTCTGTACTGTAGGTACGACAAGCATGGATCAGAGGCATCTACCATCCTCTCTTATCACATACACTGAGACACTATACTTTTTTTATAGCTAAAGAGACAATGTTCTATTCTGTTTCAGCGCTTTGAAATATCTCATCATAATTGCATTGTAGGTATGATACCCTGATGGCTCGTAGTCTGGAGATGGGCAATGCCACCAGGGTATCTTTTCAGAGCCACATGTCTGTAGTGGAGGATCTAGAGCCAGGTAAGTAATCTACTGTATAACAAAATAAGGAACAATTAACATAAGCACATTTGTACCGTTAGTCCTAGAATTAATATAGCAGAAAATGAAGCCTATCTTATCTCATTGTCTTCAGTGGTGTCCTGTGGCTGGCTTTCTCCACCCACAAATGGAAAGAAGGAGGGGACCAGATATTTACAGGGAGCTGTGGTGAAGCTGTCCTGCGATTCCGGCTATGTCCTCAGGGGGTCAGAGGAGCACACATGCCAGGGGACTGGCCAATGGTCTGGTGAAACTACGACCTGCGTGACTGGTATGGACCATCGCTGAAATCAACAGCAAAATGATATGCTACTGGTATGAATCATCGCTGAAATCAACAGCAACATGATATATGCTATTGGTATGTATGAAATACCAGTACGAAAAAGTATGAAAATGTATGGACTCACTACTGGAAGTCACTCTGGATAAGAGCGTCTGCTAAATTACAAAAATGTAAATGTCAAAATGTATGAATCAATGCTGAAATCAACAGCAAAATGCTCTATAATTCTGGTACAAATTATCAATAAAATCAACAGCAAAATGCTCTGTGCTACTATGCTATTCCCTGTTACGTTACTGCAAAATGAACTCAGTATTGGATGAGGATCAATATCATGGGCATATTGCTAGTGGGGTCACATCAACTTGATCATCAGTAGTTTTTTATGTACGGCCTGTCCTGTCTTCTTTTGATTTCCCCAAAGTATTACAAATAATAACTTCACCACTGATCCATGTGCTTTGTTTAAAACCCTTTTACGATCACTCCACCAATACCTTTGACATGAGTTGACGGGGACAGATATAGGGGCATATTGCCATGGCAATGGGACCAGACTGTGAATTTGAATCATTACATACAATATCATTGCCAAATAATTTAAATATTCATAGCATAGGCTACTGAAGGATGCTGTAGCCACTATAGTGTTATTTACAGTACGTGAGCCCCCCCATCATGAATAACATAGGGGTGAAATTGAGTATCTGAAAATCAAAGGTTTGCATTCTCCTTTTTGACTGTGGACAAGCTGATGATGGCTCCTCCTTTACTCAAAAAGGGAAGCATTTCAAAGCCTTCACAACTCTCTCAACAAAATGATTTATCTTCCCCTCTAAAGCCACACTTCTATTACAGTACATGCTCTTTGTTTTGCAGATCATCTCATGGGAATTGTGGTTGGCTCAGTTATTGGAGCACTAGCATTAATCCTAATGATAGTAACCCTCATAATCAACAGCAGGCAACATAAAAGGTAGGGTATAGTGATCTTCAGTGCCTTACATTTTCCTTTACACACTTCCTCTGAAAAATACACATTTTACACTATACATGTACCTTCTAGCAGTTACACATCTGTTTTCTTATTTTTCTGTTCAGAGAAACTGCAGCGTCTGCTGTGTCGGATGATGGACAAGATCAGATCAGTGTGGTTTTCTAATAGACATTCTGCAGGATCCAGACATATCTCTTTACAGCCACTTCTACAGTACATAGAATAGTTGGTTTAAGAATAGTTGCAAACATATACATTTGTTCTACTGCTGACAGTGAAAGTAGAGTTAATTGCACCATAATGCATCTAGTTCTATGGTAAAACACAATACCTGTTGATTTAAAACAGTACTGTACCTAATGACATGTATATATCCGCACTTCTAACTCTGTAATGCAAAAATGTGAATGTATGGCATGTAATATTAATATCAGCGATGAAATTCATGATATCTCTTCCACTACCATACTAATAAATGGTATCACTGTACACTCACGGTACTGATTGAGTCAGATGTGAGGGTCATTGTTTGAATTATTTATGACAGATATGTTTTGGACATTGTTTGAGCCAAGGTTATTATAGTTTTGTGTTTTTATATTCGTTTTTATTTCTATTCGTTTTAAGATTTTTATTTGAAATTCAGTTTAGTTTCAGTTAGTTTTCAGGTTTTTATTTAGTTTAAGTTTTATAAAAATATTTATATTTTGTTTTTCTTGTATAATTTTAGTTTTAGTGTTAGGGACAGAAAGTAGCCTATGCGTGGAAGGCCAGGAGCCATGTACTGTATAGTTGTATAGGTTTTGTATTTTTGGGGATGTCACTTCTTGCCATTGTGGAGCAGTAATGCAGGTGATGGGTCAAATCATAGGTTCGGTTAGGTTTAAAGGTAGACTCAGTGAGATGATGTCGATGCACAAAGTAAACAGTTTCCGCAACAACCAGGAGTGTTGAAGCGCGAGGCTAAACTTCTCTGCTGTTTTGGTCCAGTAGCTACCGCATTGTAGTAGTGTGAAGCACACCCGTGCACACGGTGCAGATGCTCTGTGTGAGAGCAAAGTCTTGCATTGTGCTCATCTCAATGGGCGCGTTCAAGTGGATCACTTTTGTCAAGTCGATGACCATCGTTGGTCACCATTTTTCAAAGTGTGTTGCATTCTGGGGATGAACATTTTCCGACTTGTCAACTGCATGAACTTTACAAAAATCATGTGCTCAAAGGTCATCAAGTTTTGACTGCAGTCGACTGTGAGTTTCTGCTGTTGCTCTTCACCATCTTCATCCTGCAGCCATCGCCTGCATTGTGGGAAGCTCTTTAGTCAATCATTCATTAGGGTGTTTTTATTTTACCCACGCAAGTGTGAGCAAAGACATGACTGAAACAGGAATCAATTTACTTCGATTTATGTGTACAGTGGATATGGGGGTTAGATACAGTGCATGTTTATTTCGACAATGGCAACACTGCCATGTCTCCAACCCACCCCCCCCCAAAAAACAAACAAAAAAAAACAAAAACATTGTAAAGTGGTTATCCCACTGGCTATAAGGTGAATGCACCTATTTGTAAGTCGCTCTGGATAAGAGCGTCTGCTAAATGACGTAAATGTAAATGTAATGTTGATCAGAGCCTTGCTATTGGAAAACCACATGAATGTCCAACTTAATGCTGTGGCAGACGCACCTCCCCTGACTTCACTCCTCCACCTTCGTCTACGGTCGGTTGCTTTAGCCTTACCACTCAAACGCACCCAATATCTGCGGTGCTGCTCATTGGCAACGTCATCTCGCTGAATCTACCTTTAAATTATAAAGTTAATCTCAATGTGACCCGCCAGATTCGGAAGCTTGAAAACCTCATTACAAAAAAAAGCTGGAAAACCCCATTGGAAAACCTATTGGATTTTTGACCCCTCCCCAAAAAACTAGAACTGAACAAAATTCATGATTTTTTAAATTTAAGTTAGTTTTGGAGTCAAAGATAATAGTTTCAGTATAGTTAACGTTTTTCAAACGGGTTTGGTCATTATTTTATTTCAGTTTACTAAATAGTTTTTTCCATGATTAGTTTTCATTTTAATTTCAGTTTTAGTTGAGCTGTAAAGATTAAGAGGGTGTGACTTAGGTCACATTCCAAATCTATTACTCTGTAATAAATGTAGCCGTCTGGCATAATATCGACCCACATTTCCCTACTACAGTATTACGGTATCAACTAAAGAGCATTTGCAGTCCACTGTGTGGTTATACCAGGAATCTGCATCAACAGCACAATTCTGCAACAGCACCTGACTCAGTCATTGCAATTCTAGTTTCTGTCCTTGCCTGAGCAACTGATTGGGGCCTGAGAGCAAACCTGTTGTATGGCCTCATTCCTGGGCGGCACGTAGCCTAGCGGTTAAGAGCACTGGGCCAGTAAGCCGACTAGGTGAAAGAAATTGGCCGATGTACCCTGGAGCAAGGCACTTAACCCTAATTGCTCCTGTAAGTCATTCTGTATAAGAGTGTCTGCTAAATGACTACAACGTAAAATGACTCTATAGCCATTCAATAACATTGAGTTATCAATTACGTGTGAGAGAAACATAAACAAGTGGAACTTCACCCAAGAGACTGGAGTTGGGCATAATGAATGGAGAGGGCTTGAGGTTCTGACATTATGTTACATCATCTGATACACTGGTGCAGGCTTATTAGATTCATTCCCCTTTGACAGTGAGTGAGGGGAAAGAGACACGCACCCAGGGGTAAAGCAGGGCAACCCAGAGGACAGATCTACAGGCTCTTCATATCAACATTCCCCACTTCCTCTCTATAGCATCAGTCTTTCTATTAGAACTCCATCACTCCCCTCAGATGTAGGAGCCACAGTGTCAACATGTGAGTGAATGTTACATGCCCATAGATGTATATAGAAGTTGAAGTCACTGCAAAAGAACCTTATGAACATATTAGGTATCTGAGTATACAAAACCTCCGACATTGGTGTAAACAGATTTATACTGTAGCTGAGGGGTTGCTTAGCAGTTTCTGTGGTGAATGTACATGCTGTCCCTGCACATAGCAGAGCGATGTGATTACTTTGGAGAAGACAAAGAGCACCAGTATGTGACAAGACTGCAGAAGCCAATCACTGAATAAACCCCATCGTTGCAGTGGCTGGAGTCATCCACCAACTACTTGCCATTTGCGCCTTGGCGCTATAAATACAATTAGAGTTATCCTCTGCAGGTCCCAGGGCAACAAAGGAGCAACACCACTGTTCCAACCATGCCTATCAACACATCCCATGGATAACACTTACTACTTGATAGGTGCTAGAATGGATCAGCTGGGTATATAAATGGTGTGAGTGATGCTGATTTATCCAGGGCAATCCTTCCCACTATGAGGCAGTCTTCCTGAACTGTTTGGGGGAAAATATAGCTGCCCTTTTGTATGGCGAGTCTAAGTCATTAAACCAGACTTAGCCATTGTAATTAGGCAGAGATTGAATAACATTAGCAAGCCAGGGGGAAAGCAAGGGAGGAGACAGGTTTCCCCCCCCTAGTACCACTCTCAGAAGGCGATTCAGAAGTCATGGCTGACCACAACAAGGTATTACTGCGTCCTCTTTTCCGCCGAGATGTTAACTGGGATCCTTTCCGTGAGTGGACACAGCCTAGCCGCATGATCATGGAGAAGGACTTTGGCCTCCCTCCCTTCTTGGATCCAGGCGATGTGAACTGGATAGACTGGGCTAGGAATAAATTGGCATCATCCTCCTGGCCAGGGTACACACACTATCCCCTCTTCATCCCCAGCACTGTTCCACCTGCTACAGTGCCACCCCAGACTTCAGCCAGGCTTCAGAGGCAACTGTCTGGAGGAGTGTCAGAGATCAGGACGGAACAGGGCAGTTGGAGGATCACCCTGGATGTCAATCACTTCTCACCAGAGGAGATATCAATCAAAACCAAGGGATGCTTCCTGGAGATTGCAGGTAGGAGCATTATTTCTCTGGTTTAAAAAAAAAAACAGAATTTGGTGGCGGTTGGAACATCCATTGTTAAACATTTTTTATAATTTACTGTTGAAATTTCCATTAGATGTCCACATGCTCCATATTACATTACTTCAATAATTGTTCTCAACTTATATTTTAAGGTCAACATGAAGAAAGGGAAGACGAACATGGATCAATCTCAAGGTGCTTTATAAGGAAATACAAGTAAGTTGTAATGGTTGAATAGAAAACAAGGTCCCTCACAATGCTATGACAAAGACATCTCCCGGTAATGAAACTAAGAACTCAATAAATGTGTGGAATTGAAAGTCTTTCTGTTGATTGTTATAGGAAGACATTTTAAATAATTTCCCACGGTTTAATTAAATTAGTAAAAACAGATGACAAGCAGCCATTTGAACCACAGTAAACACGTTGTAGCCTGTCTGTGTTGTAAGCAGATTGTTGTTGTTTGTTTGTTGAAGGCTGCCCCCTGGTGTGGACTTGCAGCACATCAGCTCATCTCTGTCTGGTGAAGGGGTTCTCTTAGTGGAAGCACCTCTGCCAGGCTCAGCTACCACCATCCTCCCCAGTGACATGGTCATCCCCATTCAGATCAAGCACGAGCAGGAGGGGAAAGAGTGAATCCAGTTGACCAGAAGTTGTGATCCATCACAATTAGATATAAAGCTTGGGGTAAAGCTTAGAAGCTGATGACAGTGGTTAAGCTCGGGGAGAGCTTAGAAGCTAATGACAATGTTGACTACTTTTGACAAAAATTTGATTGTGTATTCGGTCTTGGTCATTCAAAATGACAAACATAGAGGCTTCTATTGCTATTGAAACCCTATAACTTAATTTACTCTCACTGTAACCACAAGGTTTGCATGTTTTTCTATGTATTATGGTAAATCAACTAGCAAAACCAAGATAAACAGAAATATTCAAGACTGATGAAATGTACTTTCTCATTTGTCAAATTATAGATTATCTGGGAGTAAAAATTACCATGCGTAAGAATGCTGGAACAGTTCTACAAAGCATACATTTCAATGTTGCTATTTCTATGAATATAATATTTTTTGAATAAAAGCAATTAACAATCCATGGCAAAACTACCCATATTCAGGAGGGTTGGGGGCTCTTATGTACGCTGCGTAACTCTTTGTATACAAACTACTGATGGTCATACCAATGATCATTAAGCCAATTTGATTTGAGGTCCTCTGTATGTATAAAAATATATTTTAAAATGATTTGATAAAAAATATTTAATTTGACCTTTACTACTATAGCCCATAGAAACGCATTGAATAACACATTCATAAATGGCAAAAAATACAGTAAAAAAAATAATCATGGCCTCCTGAGTGGCACAGCGATCTGTCACTGCATCGCATTGCTAGAGGGTTCATTCCTGGGCTGTGCCACAACCGACCGTGGCCAGGAGTCCCATAGGACGGTGCACAATTGGCCAAGCGTTGTCTGAGTTTGGCTGGTGGGGCTTTACTTGGCTCATTGCGCTCTAGCGACTCCTTGTGGCGGGCCAGGTGCCTGCAGGCTGACCCAGGTTACCAGTTGAACAGTGTTTCCTCTGACACATTGGTGTGGCTGGCTTCCGGGTTAAGCTGGCGGGTGTTAAGGAGTGCGGTTAGGCAGTTCATGTTTCGGAGGACGCATGACTCCACCTTCGCCTCTCCTGAGCCAGTTGGGGAGTTGCAGCGATGAGACAAGATTGAAAATTGGGAGAGAAAAAGGGTGTAAAACAAATTTTAAAAATCATAGGTTTGAAGTGTCTGTCCTATATCTAGGAGATATAAGAAAGCTCAGGAAAGATTTTTGTTTTTTGGACACATATTGAACCCCTTTTTTCTATGGCAAAACACTACCTCCATACTTCCATTCATTTGTATGGGTTACCTTCAAATCAAATCAAATTGTATTTGCCACATGCGCCGAATACAACAGGTGTTGACCTTAACAGTGAAACGCTTACTTACAAGCCCTTAACCTTCAGATGAGTCCCGTGACACTTGTGGGGGTAGTAGAGTAAAAACGGAAAACACCATTGTGTTCATGAGTCTCCCCTTTCCATAGTGGTATTGATGAGAAACCAATGCTTTCTGAAGGCATTGGCGCTTTCACCAAATTGTGCTTAAAAATGGCTCATTGCGCAGAGCTTAATTCTGTTCATAATGCACATTAGTGACATCTGCTGGTCCGCAATAAATAGCAGTGTGTGATTATGAGATAGATCTTTTTTTCTTGTCTATTGCCATGAAAATTCTGTGGCACAGCGGTAACTTGTTGGTTTTAGTAGTTGATAATCAGTTGAAATACCAGATTTGCATCTATCATCATACTTCCCTTTTTTGCCTTTAAGTTGACTACATTTCAAAAACGGAATCTATGGTATTATTTCGGATGCTTAAGACAAAAGCTTATACTATACTAAATAAATCAAATTATTTGAACAACAGTGCAGAAAGTGTGGTTTTACATGCATTTTCATCTTCAAAATAATGTGTCTTCAACCGGATTCGACCTCATACCCTCACGTTCCTAAATGTTCCATAGTGCCCTACTCTACCTGCTAAACTACTGGTCAGGTAAAACTATATCTATAAAATCCTAACTATATTTGTAAGTAAGGTGTCCAGTAGAAAAAAACTTTGCCAAAGGGTAAAGTCTACAAAACTTAGTCCACTCTGTTCTTAACAGATTCCAGTTTGGGGAACAGAAAACTGTATTGAGATCAAATGATTCATCGATGAGAAAATTAGCAGAATGTTGGCCAAAATTGATCTCGTTGTAAGAACATGTTTTATTAACCAAAAATATGTATAATTTTGGAAAACAAAACTCTGCTTGGTAAATTTCCCGTGTCAAGTTACTTTAATTAGAAAAACATTGAGGTCTCCTTTGATGGACTACAGCCAGGGTAACACAGCTTTCAATTACTTTCCTTTCTGTGTTCCCAGCCAAGAAAACTAATATAAAATGCTTTAAATGGCCATGCAACCTTTAGAGTGGTGGTGTGAGAGAGATGTCTAAGTGGTGCTGATGGTGTTGGCACTAAGCAGTAGAACATGAAAGGCATGGGAGCCTTGTGTTACCCGCTCTAAATTCTCCTCCTCATGTCTCACAGGCTATTAAAAACAGCTCCAGTAACTGATCCATGCGGTAGAGATGTCAAGATCTTCCCAGTTACAGAATTTAATGAGTTAGTCATTAACACCACCCATCCTACTCTCCTATCCATGGTACGTGACAAAATGTGTTGACATTATATTAAAATGGGAACTGGACAAATATGATTGATAGTGAGGCATGGTTTCCTCAATTGAATTAATAAGTCACAATCTGTAATATTTCCAGTCACCCCTTGATTTTTGAATATGACTTATTTACAGCAACGCCACATGGCATCCACTGGGCTTGATATATCACGTGTGAATAAGTGATTTTAATTCCATAGACCTTGACCTATTTCCCTGGTCTGGGAGTAATTAGTTGTTCTTAGTTTGGGATTTGAAATGAGAGACGCTTGCTGATTGTGGTTTAATGAGACGTTCTACGATTGAATAACTAATCCAGTGGTTATAACAGGGGTTTTCATCATGGACAATGAGGGCTGCCAAAAACAAAGGACTAATGTGGGAGATGAGTGATGTGTACTGTAAGGATAAAGCTCAGCAACTCAGCAAGACCACGGGAACAGGTGACAACTAAATTAGCAGCACACTTTGAACAGGCAGAATAAACTATTGTTTTTCTTAGGATATGCGTTCCAGTTGAATTGACAATATTATAGGTTACAATATTTTTCATACTTTACGTAGACCTAAGAACCACTACGAACGTGAATCAAATCAAAATGTATTGGTCGCGTACACAGATTTGCAGGTGTTATAGGAGGTGCAGCGAAATGCTTATGTTACTAGCTCCAACAGTGCAGTAGAATGTTTCGCAAATACACCAAAGTAATAAGTAAAGTGATATTTTAAATAAATCGTATTATATGGCTTTTCAACACTGCCACCTGCAAGGATATTCTGTTGCATTTTCCAAATTTGATTTTCCACTAGTGTCACAGAAATAGTTTGGTGTGTGAAGATATGGAACACTTGTCTTAGGCTATAATTTTATGTTGACAGCTGTACGATACTGTAGATTGAAGTATGCACTGTGATAGCCCACTCCAACTCCCACTTGAGTTTTGTCCATTTCCAGATGTCCACATCCCAGATAATCTGCTGTATATTTCAAGTGTCTCAGGCCTAATGTTTCCAAATGAAATAAGAAATAGTAAACACACACAAAAATCACATATATTTCAGCAAAAGTAGTAGTAGCTTTCAGTTACCCCAACAAAGTCATCTCTAGGATTTAGTAGCCTGCAACATTGCTGGCTGAAACCACACACTACTAATGTCAAAGTTGTCTGAGAAGGCATACTGGGATCATAACCACATTTTCTGGGATGGACCCAGCAAACTGCCAAAGTAGTGTAGTAATGTAACCGTGGAAATGAACACCTCAGAAGCACTGAGGAGTAGCTATTTGAAATCCAAATGAAGAGAACTGGCAAAGTGCACTCATACATAAAGTTAGAGTTATTCAAATCAAACGATAAATACATGTCATATGCGGCAGCTGGACGTAAAAATGCATGGGTAGTAAAAATGCATGGGCATGTAGGCCAAAAAAATGAGGAAGTTATGCTTCTAGTATCAGTTTCCCATGGATGAAGCTTGATACCTGATGTAGGCCTAATAACAAATTATATTTTACAGGGTTGTGGAATATTGAACTATACTCTTGGCTAAAGATTCCAAGATTCTGCATGTCGAGTCTAGAGCTCAATCAAGTCATAGGTGAAGTCGACAGGACGCTTGCTGAGAAGTATGAGGAGATGTAGTGTTGTGGAAAATAACCACTATACTTTATTACAAATAAGGTCTTACAGAGTTTTTGTTGCATCAAGAAATGACTTTATTAAAGTTTCAACAAAGCCGATACCAGTCTGCAGAGTGGCACCCCGTTCTCTCTCCCTCACGTCACATTATATACCATCATCCCCAACTCTTCTCGCTCTAAATCCCTCCCTCTTCAGTTTCCCGCTCTTTATCACTCCACGCCCACTTCCTTTGTCTCTGAGGGCGGCTAAACCTAACATACACAAACCTCACCCCATCATGCTGTAATCAATCAAGAAGATACCAAGGAGACAAAGGTCTAGCCCAAACTCCATTCAACCCTGGTGCCGCTCCCTTCACTGTGTTTGAAGAGAGAGACAAAAGGCCACAAGCTAGTTTCAGTCTCTCATCAGATAAGACAGCCATGGATTTAAGTAAGAGCAAGCAATTTGACCCTAGGGCAGATTCCCTCTCTACTCACCCACACAGTGAAATTAAATGACCCAATACAATTCCTGGCCCAGTAACAAAGAATTCTAACTTTATGCTCTTGATTAACCCAGTTCTACATCCATTAAACTCTACAGTTCATTAATAATAATAATTCACCACAGTAGCAGATCAAAAGGGTGATTGAGTCCATGCAGAGCACATCCATTAACTATTTTGTCCACCAAAATGAAATGAAAATTAGAGTATACCCACTTCTCCAGGCACCACTACACTACTGCTCACAGGCCTACTACACCGCGACAAAGATTATGGATATACTGACAAGATACATGTCTCTCCATCCTACAACTGCCCTAACAATGGGAGTCGTTGTCCACAAAGTGGCATGGCGGGCTGTCTAGCTCCCGCCTATCCTTTCTTTGGATTGGTGGATACATCTCTTTATTGTAATATTTTTTTGAATAGTTGATGAGGGTTGTTGACGTCAACCGCCTGTATTCAATGGAGAGAGATGCTATGCTACTAACCTCATGCCATAAATATGCATAGCCATCTCAAGACAATGTTGCCGGGATGTCACATGTCCTACTTATATCAGTACACTCGTAACAACTTAATAAGCATTACGAAACATCTATTTGATCAAATAAACCTCACATAGCAAATAAGCCATACTATTTTTTGTTGACCAAATTCAACATTCTCTCATTGACTTCCATACAAAAACTCCTTGCTTGGTGGGCGAAACAATGAAAAAACGGCACCTGCTGGAGGGAAATAGATTTCCAGATTTCCACCGAGTTTGTTTACATTGTCAGTCACGAGGTCACTAGGCCAGAGAATATTTTAGGCATGGCGAATAGGTTTGTTGCTGACTGATAACAGACATAGTACAGTGCATTCGGAAAGTATTCAGACCCCTTGACTTTTTCACATTTTGTTACGTTACAGTCTTATTCTAAAATTGATTAAATAAAACATTTTCCACATCAATCTACACACAATATCCATAATGACAAAGCGAAAACAGGTTTTTGGATATATATATAAAATATGTATAAAAAAATTAACAAATACCTTATTTACATAAGTATTCAAATCCTTTGCTATGAGACTCGAAATTGAGCTCAGGTGCATCCTGTTTCCATTGACCATCATTGAGATGTTTCTACAACTTGATTGGAGTCCACCTGTGGTAAATTCAATTGATTGGAAATTATTTGGAAAGGCACACACCTGTCTATATAAGGTCTCACAGTTGACAGGGCATGTCAGAGCAAAAACCAAGCCATGAGGTCGAAGGAATTGTCCGTAGAGCTCCGAGACAGGATTGTATTGAGGCACAGATCTGGGGAAGGGTACCAAAAAATGTCTGCAGCATTGAAGGTTCCCAATTACATCATTCTTAAATGGAAGAAGTTTGGAACCACCAAGACTCTTCCTAGAGCTGGCCGCCCATCCAAACTGAGCAATCAGTTCAGGCAGGTGACCAAGAACCCGATGGTCACTCTGACAGAGCTCCAGAGTTCCTCTGTGGAGACGTAGTTCCTCTATGCCAAAAGAGTCCATTATTGAAACTAGACCCTAGTCACTGTGTTGCCTATGGTCTGGTTTTCGAGACTATCTGCTTACCTGTCTGCTTATCGTGGACAGATTTTGACATGAGTGATGTCCCAAGTTGATGTTGTTGGCTTGTACAGTTGTAGGCTACAACTACATAGCCTATGCAGAACAGGCTAGTTTTCCACCAAGGAATGGCAGGGGGTTTAATCAGATAGGCTAAATGTTAAAGGTCCAAGGCAGCCATTTTTATCTCAATATCAAATAATTTCTGGGTAACAATTAAGTACCTTACTGGGATTTTTTTCTATTAAAATGGTAAATAAGAAACAAAAATAGTTTCTTAGCAAAGAGCAATTTCTCAAGCAAGAATTTTGCTAGAGCTGTCTGGTAATGATCTGAGTGGGGAGGGGAAAACTGAAAACGATCTGTTATTGGCAGAGAGGTTTGGAACTCTTTCTTATTGGTCTGTTAACTAATTTACCCTGGTGATGTCACCAGGCAGGCCAAAACTCCATCCCACCAAAACAGGCAGAAATGTCAGGCGGTCTTTTCAAACAGCTGTTATAATGAAAGGGCATTATCACAATTTTACAGATTTATTCCAACCTCGTAGTATGGAAATACATATAAAACATAGGAAAATCAAGTTTTTGACTGAACTGGGCCTTTAAATAGGTGGCGCAAGCTAGCAAAAGGCAATGCACATTTTTTGAAAGGCTTGAGTGTCTGCATGAGTGCCTGGACATGTTGGTAGGCCTACATATCACGAGTTGAGAGGATTCTGCCCAGTGCCCATTGAAAATGTACATAGGCCACATCAGAATTGTCATTTTTTTTTATGTCATTATTGCCTGTTTGTCATATTGATATGATATTGCATGAATTGATGTATCTGTTATATTGTGATTCTGTTATGTTATCACATTTAGGATTCCCATTGTTTTTGGAAGGGTGCTTCAGTCAAGAGTGATGAAGCAATTCCTGAGGGCAAGGTAGGTAAAGTGCACTTATAACTTTATTATTCGACCTGTAAGAATTATGTATTTCATCATTTGGTTGAAAATATATTTTGAAATGCATTCATTTCAGTTAAAGAATTAACAAAACTGCAGAGATGATATCGTTCAATATTTTAATCACTGCACATAAAGACTTTCACAATGGCAATCATATTGTATGAGCAGTGTTTGGAAGACTTCAGTAGCATCGTTGATGAACACTTCTTTATTCAGCTTCTTTTGTTGCCTGGAAATACACAAATTAATCATCCAAACAACCAGATTTATTTCCACAAATGGATAATACTGGTGCGATTAACGGTTTAATACACTTTCACATTGACTTTCATATTATATGAAACAGAAAGGCTTCAGGAACTTGTTCCTTGCTCACTCATCTTTGGAGAACGGAATAAAATGTAAAATAGGATATCAGACCACAGCTTTCACTCAACAGAAAACATAACTTTTCCATTAAACAGCATGTAACGGCAAAATGACCTTTCCAGAGTCACAGCTCTTGGCTCTCAGCTTGTTGACCTGGGACTCAGTAATGTCAGCACACTCCTCAGCTTCCTCCAGTCCATGCTGGCACCTTCCTGAACTTGGCCAGGTGAGTGTTGGCTTGTTCTTCCTGAAAGGACAATAGGAAATAGTTGCAATTAGAAGGCTAATGGTGGTACAGTTCAGGTTTACCATGTTTTGTAGAATAATTTAAGATGAATTTGCATTTAACTGACTTACCGCTTGTAGGCCTTAACCTTCAACTGCAGCTTTTCCGCCAAATCCTACAGCCTGTTAACATTCTTCTTGTCCTCCTCAGTCTGAGGGAGGTGTGACATTGATTTTTATTTAGATGCTGAGATAGTCGGATCATTTTCTAGCCATTTGTTCAATACAGACAATTAACTTACCTGGTAGGTGAGCTCCTTCACTCTCCTCTCATATTTGCGGACACCTTTAATAGTATCTACTCCACGTCTCTGTTCAGTCTCGAACTCAGACTCCAGTTCACGCACCTTGATTTATGAATCAATACTTTGATTAGAATTCAGCTCATTATGTACATACATGTATACTGTATAGCTATCCCCTTTCGAATGTTAGCGCCTGTTATCAATAATTAATCAATCATTAACTTACTTCCCACACGAACCTGCAGGTCCTTGACTGTTACCTCCAGGTTCTTCTTCATCCTCTCCAGGTGAGCGCTGGTGTCCTCCTCCTTCTTCAGCTCCTCAGCCATCATGGCAGCATGGTTTGTGACATCATATTTGTATATAGAAAAGTTTTATGTACAGTGAGGGAAAAAAGTATTTGATCCCCTGCTGATTTTGTACGTTTGCCCACTGACAAAGAAATGATCAGTCTATAATTTTAATGGTAGGTTTATTTGAACAGTGAGAGACAGAATAACAACAAAAAAAATATATAAATTGATTAGCATTTTAATGAGGGAAATAAGTATTTGACCCCCTCTCAATCAGAAAGATTTCTGGCTCCCAGGTGTCTTTTATACAGGTAACGAGCTGAGATTAGGAGCACACTCTTAAAGGGAGTGCTCCTAATCCCAGCTTGTTACCTGTATAAAAGACACCTGTCCACAGAAGCAATCAATCAATCAGATTCCAAACTCTCCACCATGGCCAAGACCAAAGAGCTCTCCAAGGATGTCAAGGACAAGATTGTAGACCTACACAAGGCTGTAATGGGCTACAAGACCATTGCCAAACAGCTTGGTGAGAAGGTGACAACAGTTGGTGCGATTATTCGCAAATGGAAGAAACACAAAAGACCTGTCAATCTCCCTCGGCCTGGGGCTCCATGCAAGATCTCACCTTGTGGAGTTGCAATGATCATGAGAACAGTGAGGAATCAGCCCAGAACTACACGGGAGGATCTTGTCAATGATCTCAAGGCAGCTGGGACCATAGTCACCAAGAAAACAATTGGTAACACACTACGCTGTGAAGGACTGAAATCCTGCAGCGCCCGCAAGGTCCCCCTTGCTCAAGAAAGCACATATACAGGGCCGTCTGACGTTTGCTAATGAACATCTGAATGATTCAGAGGAGAACTGGGTGAAAATGTTGTGGTCAGACGAGACCAAAATCGAGCTCTTTGGCATCAACTCAACTCACCGTGTTTGGAGGAGGAGGAATGCTGCCTATGACCCCAAGAACACCATCCCCACCGTCAAACATGGAGGTGGAAACATTATGCTTTGGGGGTGTTTTTCTGCTAAGGGGACAGGACAACTTCACCGCATCAAAGGGACGATGGACGGGGCCATGTACCGTCAAATCTTGGGTGAGAACCTCCTTCCCTCAGCCAGGGCATTGAAAATGGGTTGTGGATGGGTTTTCCAGCATGACATTGACCCAAAACACACGGCCAAGTCAACAAAGGAGTGGCTCAAGAGGAAGCACATTAAGGTCCTGGAGTGGCCTAGCCAGTCTCAAGACCTTAATCCCATAGAAAATATGTGGAGGGAGCTGAAGGTTCGACCTTAATGACTTGGAGAAGATCTGCAAAGAAGAGTGGAACAAAATCCCTCCTGAGATGTGTGCAAACCTGGTGGCCAACTACAAGAAACGTATGACCTCTGAGATTGCCAACAAGGGTTTTGCCACCAAGTACTAAGTCATGTTTTTCCAGAGGGGTCAAATACTTATTTCCCTCATTAAAATGCAAATCAATTAATAACATTTTTGACATGCGTTTTTCTGGATTTCGTTGTTGTTATTCTGTCTCTCACTGTTCAAATAAACCTACCATTAAAATTATAGACTGATCATGTCTTTGTCAGTGGGCAAACGTACAAAATCAGCAGGGGATCAAATACTTTTTTCCCCTCACTGTAGGTTATCTAACTAGACCTTTTTACCTGTTCAATTGTCATTTTAATTATTGATGCACATTGATTCTTTAAGAACTTTTATGCCTTAGGAGTTTGGTACAACTGCCACACTGGCATATAGTATCATAACCCAAGAATTAAAGCAATTTTTGTATTTTCTAAAGCAACCATGCTAACAGGGATGCCAGCTAAGATAGTTAGACAAACTCCTCTAACTTGATTAAAATGTGTGTCACTCGACACGCTCTCCTCCTCCACTGACGATACTGTCTGCACGTACTTGAGTATCTAGCATCCTGCCTAGCATATCTTTGCGTGGTGTACCTTGGAATTAACCACCTACTAGGTAGAATAGGGTTGGGGTCCAGTCAATGTGCCCCCTTTGCAAAATACAGCTGACAGATCTTTTTTTATGATAAAACATGGGCTTAAAAATTCAGTTAATTAAACATTTTTATAAATTTAACATCTGAAAAAACAGGACAAATCTGAGGGGACACGTGCCCTGGTGCCCCCTACGGGCATGACACCTCTGATATTTACATAATTGAAATAACAGATTCAAGCTACAGTTGAAGTCGGAAGTTTACATACACTTAGGTTGGAGTCATTAAAACTCGTTTTACAACCACTCCACAAATGTCTTGTTAACAAACTATAGTTTTGGCAAGTCGGTTAGGACATCTACTTTGTGCATGACACAAGTAATTTTTCCAACAATTGTTTACAGACATACAACTTTCATCTGTACAAACAATAGTACGCAAGCATAAACACCATGGGACCACGCAGCCGTCATACCGCTCAGGAAGGAGACGCGTTCTGTCTCCTAGAGATGAACGTACTTTGGTGCGAAAAGTGCAAATCAATCCCAGAACAACAGCAAAGGACCTTATGAAGATGCTGGAGGAAACAGGTACAAAAGTCTCTATATCCACAGTAAAACGAGTCCTATTTCGACATAACCTGAAAGGCCGCTCAGCAAGGAAGAAGCCACTGCTCCAAAACCGCCATAAAAAAGCCAGATTACGGTTTGCAACTGCACATTGGGACAAAGATCGTACTTTTTGGAGAAATGTCCTCTGGTCTGATGAAACAAAAATAGAACTGTTTGGCCATAATGACCATCGTTATGTTTGGAGGAAAAAGGGGATAACTTGCAAGCCGAAGAACACCATCCCAACCGTGAAGCACGGGGGTGCTTTGCTGCAGGAGGGACTGGTGCACTTCACAAAATAGATGGCATCATGAGGAAGGAAAATTATGTGGATATATTGAAGCAACATCTCAAGACATCAGTCAGGAAGTTAAAGCTTGGTCGCAAATGGGTCTTCCAAATGGACAATGACCCCAAGCATACTTCCCAAGTTGTGGCAAAATGGCTTAAGGACAACAAAGTCAAGGTATTGGAGTGGCCATTACAAAGCCCTGACCTCAATCCTATAGAACATTTGTGGGCAGAACTGAAAAAGTGTGTGCGAGCAAGGAGGCCTACAAACCTGACTCAGTTACACCAGCTCTGTCAGGAGGAATGGGCCGAAATTCACCCAACTTATTGTGGGAAGCTTATGGAAGGCTACCCGAAACGTTTGACCCAAGTTAAACAATTTAAAGGCAATGCTACCAAATACTAACATTTCACATTCTTAAAATAAAGTGGTGATCCTAACTGACCTAAGACAGGGAATTCTTTACTAGGATTAACTGTCAGGAATTGTGAAAAACTGAGTTTAAATGTATTTGGCTAAGGTGTATGTAAACGTGTAGCTCAGTTGGTATAGCATGGCGCTTGCAACGCCAGGGTTGTGGGTTCGTTTCCCACGGGGGGCCAGTATGAAAAAAAATAATTATGCACTCACTAACTGTAAAGTCGCTCTGGATAAGAGCGTCTGCTAAATGACTAAAATGTAAATGTATCTAACAGTATAAAACATACCTGTTATCATTTACACATGCCTTCTTGAATATCAATGTTTAGTTAGCTAGCTACCAAAAAGGAAGCTAGCCAACAACACCCAGAATTGCAACATGCACACATAAATTGCTGTAAAATCTGAATCATTCACCCAATTATGAAAAATGTTGGTGGTGTTATGCCTGACGTTGTTGATCTATTGGGGAAAGAGAAAGAATAGCTCAGTAAAAAAATATTTGGATGTCTATGGAGGAAACATTCATTTTGGATTACAATTTATTTTATTTCTGTTCTTTTCTAAAGTATAATTTGTACATTATTTTCTGTGTAGGATGGACCTAGGAAAGTTTTGATGTCTTATATTTAATCTTACATCTATGCTCTTTCAAATGATATGTGGACCTTGAGTGTGCTCAATACATTTCTGGATTTATTAGCAGTTAAAAAAGGGTGAATATTACACTAAGTGGAATTGCCCAGAATTGTCCAAAAGGCTGGGGTTATAACAGTATTAATGTCATTCAACTTCTGCTTTTCAATTTTACTTCTTATTTTCCCTATAAATATGTGATATGTGATTGGTTTTACAGATTTCTCTGGCTGATTCATTTCTTGTTTGAAAATGAATTGAACCACTATACTGCAAGTTCTTGTTCTCGCGCTTCAGGGTCTCCAGCGGATCCAGAGCCTCCTCATTGGAGTTCTTCATCTGGAACAGCTCAGTGCTCATAGAGCGAACCGCTTTCTGAGATCACTCCAGCTCTGTCTGTCCTTCCTTATACTTTTGCTTCCACTCTGCCAGAACCTGCGAAAATGTTCAAGACCAGCAGGTACCCAATCTTATCAGCGACTAAACATGAAACGTACAGTGCCTTCTGGAAAGTATTCAGACCCCTTGACCTTTTCCACATTTTGTTAGGTTACAGCCTTATTCTGAAATTGATTAAATTGTCATCAATCTACACACAATACCCCATAATGACAAAGCAAAAACAGATTTTTTGAATTTTTGCTAATTTATAAAAAATAAAAAACAGAAATATCACATCAAGGATTTTTCATCAAGGATCTCTTTGTCCTTAGCTCTGTTCATCTTTGCCTCGATCCTGACTAGTCTCCCAGTCCCTGCCGCTGAAAAACATCCCCACAGCATGATGCTGCCACCACCATGCTTCACCGTAGGGATGGTGCCGGGTTTCCTCCAGATGTGATCCTTGGCATTCAGGCCAAAGAGTTGAATCTTGGTTTCATCAGACCGGTGAATCTTGTTTCTCATGGTCTGAGAGTCTTTAGGTGCCTTTTGGCAAACTCCAAGCGGGCTGTCAAGTGCCTTTTACTGAGGAGTGGCTTCCGTCTGGGCACTCTACCATAAAGGCCTGATTGGTGGAGTGCTGCAGAGATGGTTGTCCTTCTGGAAGGTTCTCCCATCTCCACAGAGGAACTCTGGAGCTCTGTCAGAGTGACCATCGGGTTCTTGGTCACCTCCCTGAACAAGGCCCTTCACCCCCGATTGCTCAGTTTGGCCGGGCGGCCAGCTCTAGGAAGAGTCTTGGTGGTTCCAAACTTCTTCCATTTAAGAATGATGGAGGCCACTGTGTTATTGGGGACCGTCAATGCTGCAGACATTTTTTGTAACCTTCCCCAGATCTGTGCCTCCAGACAATCCTGTCTCAGAGCTCTACGGACAATTCCTTCGACCTCATGGCTTGGTTTTTGCTCTGACATGCACTGTCAACTGTGGAAACTTTTATTGACAGGTGTGTGCCTTTACAAATCATGTCCAATCAATTGAATTTACCACAGGTGGACTCCAATCAAGTTGTAGAAACATCTCAAGGATGATCAATGGAAACAGGATGCACCTGAGCTTAATTTCGAGTCTCTTAGCAAAGGGTCTGAATACTATTTCAGTTTTTTATTTTTTATAAATTTGCAAACATATCTAAAAAACATTATGGGGTATTGTGTGTAGATTGCTGAGGATAAAAAAAAGGCTGTAACATAACAAAATGTGGAAAAAGTCAAGGGGTCTGAATACTTCCCGAAGGAACTGTATAATGAAGGGCATTGAAATACTTTATTTTGTCCATGATGCATGGCTATATTTGCCTGAATGGGTGTTTTGCACATTCAAATCATTCAATCCTTTATTCTTTGACATGGTCATATGGAACATACCATCTTCATGTATTATAGTTAACACTGCTGAATATTTCTTTGAACTCACCCTCAGTGCCATCAGGCTCAGCCTGCTCCTCAAGCTGCTTCTGCTTGAAGCGCATGTTACCATGGTGCATCACAGCACCAGTCAGCTTGTAGATGCCCATTTTCTCATCATTGCTGAAGCCCAGAATGTCAATTGCAGTCTGTATAGTAAAGTAATTATGACATTAATAAGGAAATACATTAGTATTGGATAGATTATGTATTTTCATATACAATGCCTTCAGAAAGTATTCGCACCCCTTGACTTTTTCCACAAAATGGATTAAATTGAGATTTCTTGGTCACTGGCCTACACACAATACCCCATAATGTCAAAGTGGAATTATGTTTTTCATTTTTTTGTAAACAAATTAATAAAAAATGTACATCTGAAATGTCTTAAGTCAATAAGTATTCAACCCCTTTGTTATGGCAAAAAAAATTTGCTTAACAAGTCACATAATAAGTTGCAATAATAGTGTTTAACATAATTTTTTTATGACTACCTAATTTCTGTACCCCACAGTCGAGCAGTGAATTTCAAACACAGATTCAACCACAAAGACCAGGGAGGTTTTCCAATACCTCACAAAGAAGAGAGCCTATTGGTAGATGGGTAAAAATTTAAAAAGCTGACATTGAAAATCCCTTTGAGCATAGTGAATTTATTAATTACACTTTGGATGGTGTATCAATACACCCAGTCACTACAAAGATACAGGTGTCCTTCCTAACTCAGTTGCCGGAGAGGAAATAAACTACTCAGGGATTTCATCATGAGGCCACTGGTGAATTTAAAACATTTACAGAGTTTACTGGCTGTGATAGGAGAACACTGAGGATGGTTCAACAACATTGTAGTTACTCCACAATATTAACCCAATTGACTGAGTGAAAAGAAGGAAGCCTGTACAGAATAAAATATTCCATAACATGCATCCTGTTTGCAACAAGGCAGTAAAGTAATACTGCAAAAAATGAGGCAAGCAATTAGCTTTTTGTCCTGAATACAAAGTGTTATGTTTGGGGAAAATCCAATACAACACATTACTGAGTACCACTCTCCATATTTTCAAGCATAGGGGTGGCTGCTTCATTTTATGGGTATGCTTGTAATCGTTAAGGACTGGGGAATTTTTCAGGATAAAAAAGATATGGAATGGAACTAAGCACAGGCAAAATCTTAGAGGAAAACCTGGTTCAGTCTGCTTTCCACCAGACACTGGGTGATGAATTCACCTTTCAGCAGGACAATAATGTAAAACACAAGGCCAAATCTACGCTGGAGTTGCTTACCAAGAAGACAGTGAATGTTCCTGAGTGGCCGAGTTACAGTTTTTACTTAAATCTACTTGAACACCTATGGCAAGACCTGAAAATGGCTGTCTAGCAATGATCAACAACAAATTTGACAGAGGTTGAAGAATTCTGAAAATAATACTGGGCAAATGTTGCACAATCCAGGTGTGGAAAGCTCTTAGAGACTTACCCAGAAAGACTGACAGCTGTAATCGCTGCCAAAGGTGCTTCTACAAAGTATTGACTCAGGGGTGTGAATACTTATGTACATTTTTCAATAAATTAGCAAAAATTAAACTTTTCACTTTGTCATTATGGGGTATTATGTGTAGATGGGTGAGAATGAGAATTATAATTTTTGAATCCATTTTGAATTCAGGCTGTAACACAACAAAATGTGGAATAAGTCAAGGGGTATGAATACTTTCTGAAGGCACTGTATACTCACATCTGTGGCCACAAGCTCATCCTTGTCATCAATACTGGCCACAGTGATCTGACCCTGGCTGATCATGGGGAAATCATAAGGATTCGTGGTGATGAGCATCATTTCTGGGAGGGAAACATGGTATTTAAGTATTTTCATTATCATTATAAACATATCAAATGAAGCCTACCAATCAGCTCAGGCTTGTGGTTGGTCATCATCTAGTAGATGTGGTAGCCTCTATCATCAGGAAGCTGGAATGACACTCAGGACCTCTCCAGCGGATCTGTAAGAAGTTAACAATTACAATCATCCTGATATATTGTCATTCTTTCAGATATTTGTTATAGTATGGAATTCATGTACTTATATATGTTTCGATGTCAGCACTAGACAGTTTTCCAGCAGTGTTGAAATGGATTCTGATTAATTTACCCTATTGGGAAGAGTTACATTAAATTAGATTGTAAATCATGTCCATCAAATGTACTGACGTTAATTCACCAATGAATAGGATTTAAAACTTACAAAGCAAGAGGAGTTGTCATTCCTCACAGTCTTGGCATTGCCATAGGCCTCCAGCAAGGGATTGGCTGCAATGACCTGATCCTCCAGAGAACCCTATAGTTTGAGTATAGACATATTAGTGGTGTCAGTTATTGGCTTGATTATAATTTAACCACATGTTATGGGATGAAGGAGAATAGGTACGCCAGGCATAACCAAACTACATACTGTTGATATTTGTAGATTCATTTTCCTTGTAACAGAATGTTGTTCTGAAAGCTCCTAACCAGGTGACCAGCAGCTGTTTACTCATCCTTCTTCTTTTCATCCCCAGCCACTGAAATTGTTGCAAAGTACTGGATGACATGCTTGGTGTTCACACCGGATTCTTCACTGTTTTGTAAAACAAAGAATGTTGATTTTAGGTCTGAACTGTAAAATATTGGAAGAGTTTATTGTATTTCAAGTAGTTTCAAGTTTCAATTAGTTTCAACATGATACTGACTGGTTCTCTCAGGACTGACTATCTGCAAAAGAAACCGGGAATCATTATTCCGTAATTAATTGGGTCGTACACTGGGAGCCACTTGTAGGGGTTCACAGTACATTTTACATTTTTACATTTTAGTCATTTAGCAGACACTCTTATCCAGAGCGACTTACAGTTAGTGAGTGCATACATTTCCATACTGAACAGCCCAAAGTAGGTCTGTAATGTGATGGGAGTGGAGTTACACCAAATACATCCAAATCTTGAATACAATTCCAAGATGGCGTAGCAGTGCGGTCGTGTATTCTGTTGTGTCCTCGTGTAAATAGCCTGTATTTTAGTTTTTTGTCATTTTTTCATATACATTTCTCTATCTCACTTTCCATCCTTTAACTAAATATACTTTCCTGCAACCCGCTTCACCCAATGTGGAACGGATTCTATTATTTCTTTATTTTTATCAAGAACCTACGGCTGAAACTAGCCAGCTAGCCAGCTAACTAGCTACTTGCTATTAGCCACCGTTAGCGGTCTTCACCACTGTCCGTGGCCGGCACTCCCTACCAGCCAGCTCTAGCCTGGACAATTATCGGCCAGTCTGCACAGCGTGCTATTGACCCAGAGCATATTGGATTTTCTTCCGGAATCACTGAATCACTGGACCTTAACACCGGACCATCGCAACTAGCTAGCTACAACCGAATGGCTGTTGGCTAATCACCACTGTCCCGACGTACCAGTTAGCCTTGAGCTAGCCTCGAGCCAGGCCCATCTCCCGGCTATCTACCTCTCTGTCAACCGGACGGGACCTCCTAGTGTCGACACGGAGCCCCGCCGATCCATCACGACTGGTCTGCCGACGTAATCGTCTCATGTGGTTTCAACAGGCTTCCAGTTGCGACGACCACGAAGATCCATCTGCTAGCCCTGGCCCGCTAGCACGCGCAATCAACAGCCGTGCCTCCTGCTCGCCTGTGCTGTAGCAGCCTACGAACTGATCCCGGACTTACCTATTGCTGTTCACTGGACCTTATGATCACTCAGCTACACAGCTAATGCCTGCTGGACTGTTCCTTTACACGGTACTCCATCCTGTTTGTCTGTTTAGCCTCAGCCCAAACTTTCGTCGCCATTACCAGTTGTTGTGTTAGCCCTCTCGAATAACACCTGTGATTGTGTTATGCCTCTCTCCCATGTCAATATGCCTAGCCTATTGCTGTTTGGGTTAGTTGTTATTATACAATTTCACTGTAGAGCCCCCAGTCCCGCTCAACCAGCCTCAGAGAGCTCCTTTGTCCCACCCCCCATACACGCGGAGACCGGCTCAATCGGTACCTCCAGTGATGCTCTCTCTTTCATAGTTACCCAATGCTTAGGTGTACCTCCACTGTACTCATATCCTTCCATATCCTTGTCTGTACATAATGCCCTGAATCTATTCTACAACGCCTGGAAATCTGCCCCTTTTATTCTCTGTACCCAACGCACTAGAAGACCATTTCTTAAAGCCTTTAGCTGTATCCTTATTCTATTCCTCCTCTGTTCCTCTGGTGATGTAGAGGTTAACCCAGACCCTGTAGCCCCCAGTATTACTCCTACCCCCCAGGCGCTATCATTTGTTGACTTCTGTAACCGTAAAGGCCTTGGTTTCTTGCATGTTAACATCAGAAGACTCCTCCCCAAGTTTGAGTTATTCACTGCATTAGCACACTCTGCCAAGCCTGATGTTCTAGCAGTGTCTGAATCTTGGCTTAGGAAGGCCACCAAAAATTCAGAAATGTCCATCCCGAACTACAACATTTTCCATCTAGATAGAACTGCCAAAGGGGGCAGAGTTGCAATCTACTGTACAGATAGCCTGCAGAGCTCTATCATACTATCCAGGTCTGTGCCAAAACAGTTTGAGCTTCTACTTCTAAAAATCCACCTTTCCAGAAATAGGTCTCTCACTGTTGCCGCTTGCTACAGACCCCCCTCAGCCCCCAGTTGTGCCCTGGACACCATATGTGAATTGCTTGCCCCCCATCTATCCTCAGAGTTCGTACTGCTTGGTGAAATTGTCGCAACCCCTATTACTAGCCGTATCGTCTGAGATCCCCAGAGATTGGAAAGCTGCCGTGGTCATCCCCCTCTTCAAAGGGGGTGACACTCTAGATCCAAACTGTTACAGACCTATATCCATCCTACCTGCAATCCGGTTTCCGAGCTGGTCATGGGTGCACCTCAGCCACGCTCAAGGTCCTAAACGATATAATAACCGTGATCGATAAAAGACAGTACTGTGCAGCCGTCTTCATCGACCTGGCCAAGGCTTTTGACTCTGTCAATCACCGCATTCTTATTGGCAGACTAAATAGCCTTGGTTTCTCAAATGACTGCCTCACCTGGTTCACCAATTACTTCTCAGATAGAGTTCAATGTGTCAAATCGGAGGGCCTGTTGTCTGGACCTCTGGCAGTCTCTATGGGGGTGCCACAGGGTTAAATTCTCGGGCCGACTCTATTCTCTGTGTATATCAATGATGTCGCTCTTGCTGCTGGTGACTCTCAGATCCACCTCTACGCAGACGACACCATTTTGTATACATCTGGCCCTTCACTGTGTTAACAAACCTCCAAACGAGCTTCAATGCCATACAACCCTCCTTCCGTGGCCTCCAACTGCTCTTAAACGCTAGTAAAACTAAATGCATGCTCTTCAATCGAACGCTGCTTGCACCCGCCCGCCCGACTAGAATCACTACTCTCGGCGGGTCTGACTTAGAATATGTGGACAACTACAAATACCTAGGTGTCTGGTTAGACCGTAAACTCTCCTTCCAGACTCACATTAAGCATCTCCAATCCAAAGTTAAATCTAGAATCGGCTTCCTATTTCGCAACAAAGCCTCCTTCTCTCATGCTGCTAAACATGCCCTCGTAAAACGGACTATCCTACCGATCCTTGACTTCGGCGATGTCATTTACAAAATAGCTTCCAACACTCTACTCAGCAAATTGGATGTAGTCTATCACAGTGCCATCCGTTTTGTCACCAAAGCCCCATATACTACACACCATTGTGACATGTACGCTGTCGTTGGCTGGCCCTCACTACATATTCGTCGCCAAACCCACTGGCTCCAGGTCATCTATAAATCTCTTCTAGGCAAATCCCCGCCTTATCTTAGCTCATTGGTCACCATAGCAACAACCACCCGTAGTATGCGTTCCAGCACGTATATCTCACTGGTCATCCCCAAAGCCAACACCTCCTTTGGCCGCCATTCCTTCCAGTTCTCTGCTGCAAATGACTGGAACGAACTGCAAAAATCTCTGAAGCTGGAGATGCTTATCTCCCTCACTAACTTTAAGCATCAGTTGTCAGAGCAGCTTAACGATCACTGCACCTGTACACAGCCCATCTGTAATTAGCCCACTAAACTACCTCATCCTCATATTGTTATTTACATTGTTATTTATTTTGCTCATTTGCACCCCAGTATCTCTATTTGCACATCATCTTCTGCACATCTATTACACTAAATTGTAATTATTTTGCATTATGGCCTATTTATTGCCTTACCTCCATAAACTTACTACATTTGCACACACTGTATATAGATTTTCTATTGTGTTATTGACTGTACGTTTTGTTTATACCATATGTAACTCTGTGTTGTTGTTGTTGTTTTTAAATCGCACTGCTTTGCTTTATCTTGGCCAGGTCGCAGTTGTAAATGAGAACTTGTTCTCATCAGGCTTACCTGGTTAAATGAAGGTTAAATAAAAATAAATATAAAACAATTAATCCTGCTGCATAACGCTCTTTGAGGTTAAAATGCACAGAGGCTTCATTGAGGTGGGTCATCATCACCATGTCCTCAATTTTGTCGAACTTGGGAGGGTTCATAGGGGTGACATCATCCTCCTTCAAATCAAATTGTATTTGTCACATGTGCCGAATACAACAGGTGTAGACCTTACAGGGAAATGCTTACTTACAAGCCCTTAACCAACAATGCAGTTTTAAGAAAAATACGTGCTAAGAAAGTATTTACAAAAATAAAGTGAAGTAAAAATGTTTTTTTAAATGATAATAATTAAAGAGCAACAATCAAATAACAGTAATAAGGCTATATACAGGGGGTACCGGTACAGAGTCAATGTGCGGGGGCACAGGTTAGTCGAGGTAATTGAGGTAATATGTACATGTAGGTAGAGGTAAAGTGACTATGCATAGATAATAAAACAGAGAGTAGCAGCAGCGTAAATAGTCAATGCAAATAGTCTGGGTAGCCATTTGAGTAGCTCTTCAGGAGTCTTATGGCTTGGGGGTAGAAGCTGTTAAGAAGCCTTTTGGACCTAGACTTGGCGCTCCGGTACTGCTTGCCGTGCGATAGCAGAGAAAACAGTCTATGACTAGGGTGGCAATTTTTAGGGCCTTCTTCTGACACCGCCTGGTATAGAGGTCCTGGATGGCAGGAAGCTTGGCCACAGTGATGTACTGGGCCATACGCACTACCCACTGTAGTGCCTTGTGGTCAGAGGCCGAGCAGTTGCCATACCAGGCGGTGGTGCAACCAGTCAGGATGCTCTTGGTGAGGCAGCTGTAGAACTTTATGATCTGAGGACCCATGCCAAAT